ATCCCTCATGAGACCTCATGTTCTTTATGGCTTAATTTTAAAACTGCCTGCCTATCTGATGGTCAGGGGAAGTAGAGGAAGCCCCTGCAGAGGCCCACACCCCTCCCATCTGTCAGAAGGAGCTCCCAGAGCTAAAGACACTGGGAAACATTCCCTTCTGCCTCCCCCCGCCCCTGCAGAGCTCCGTTTTTCTGGTCTGTCATCCATGACACCAGTGATTATGATAGGAAACCCCAGTGCTGCCCGAGTCTGACCTTAGTTCTGTACCACATCTTTCCCTCAAGCCCATGACTGGGGGCACCCCTCAGGAACCCTAAGACAAATGGGGAACAGGAAAGTGGAAAGGAAAAAGAATTTTTTTCTGTGGAGAACTTAGATTTCTTTTAAACCTTTTTTTTTTTTTTTATATTAGCTTGCCCTCAGGGATAAAACTCACATACTATGCTGCTGCTAGGGGCAGGGCTTAGTCTTTAATAAGCTCCTTAAGTGCATGGGGCTGTGCGAAGTCACTGCTGGAAACTTGAGGAAAGAGCACTACACAGCCACCTCCGAAGTGCGTGGGGTGGAGACTGGAGAGTCTAAATGGCCGGATCACGGTGTTCTTGTTCAGGTGTCAAAGGAGTCAGGCTAAAGGGAAAGTGGGATTCAATGATCTGACTAGCAGATGGTGCTAATCTCTGACCCACACTGGTGTGCAGCTTGTTTATCTGGCTCCTCTATGGCAGGGAACCTGGACGCTGGTCCTGGGGCTGTCAGGTCCCCTTGACTTGTTGCACTGTACCTAGTGCAGTTCGAGTCTAATACTGGGTACCATGGGTAGATGTCGGACATACTCACCTTGTTACCAGTTCTTGTACCAATGCATCTAGTGATTGTGTTAAGTAGAATATTCTGTACCACTGGAATGCATGTAGAAAGGAGGAGCTTGCTAAGAGTTATTTTTAAATCCCATATACATGCATTTATGTTTTACTACTTACCCAGTTTCAATCCATTCTTCCCACCCCTCAACTTGTGACAGCCAGTCTGTGATATTTCACGTACGTTGGAACTATAATTATATGATTATATGTGGTCTTTGGTGTTAGTCCTCTTTTCTTTGCATAACATGGTGGAGGGTCATGTATCAGTGTTTCATTCCTTTTTTGTGGCAGAGTGATATTCCACTGCATGGATATAGAGCATTTTGTTTACCTGATCATTTGCTGACAGTCATCTGGGTTTGTTTGCACCTTGTGGATGCTGCAAATAGTGCTGCTAATAATGTTTGTATGAGTTAGTTTGTTTTCAGTCCTCTGGGGCTCAGTGTATGGGGGAGTGATGATGGCAGAGTCAGCTAGGAATGCCAAACTGTTTCCACTGACACTTTCTTGCAAATTTGTGTATTTTTCTTCTCTTTTCTGATTTGAAGATTGTATATCATGTTTTTACTGTTTTATAGATTACTCAAAATTTTAAACATAATTGGCTTTAAAGTCCAAGTTTAATCACTTTTTCTATCCCTTCAAAAAATGCAAATTTCGGGGCTGGGGATTTAGCTCAGCGGCATAAGCGCCTGCCTTGCAAGCAGGCAGTCGTGAGTTCGATCCCTGGTACCGATAAAAACGAAAAAAAAGACAAAAAAAATGCAAATTTCAGAAAGCTTTGATAATCACCCCCTTTCAGTGTTCCCTGTTTATTAGTATCATTTCAGTATCATTTTTTAAACTACTCCCAAATTAGTTGCTGTTACTGTTTTTATTGTCCATGATCATTTAGGTTTACTTAAATATTTACCAATTTCTCTCCTCACCATTGCACTTGGCCAGCTCTTTCCTTCTGGGTTTGTCACTAGATTTTTGTTGTGCAGTTGATGTCTGTATTTTATAACGAGAGTGTCTTAGTTCTTGGATCATCTTGCCTAAAGAGCAAGAGTCAGCTGGTAACAGATCTAGAGAGTGAGTTTACTGAGGGACAAGCATAACCTGAGTATGTTTGTGGAACAGCAGGTAGAAAATGTTTTATTAAGGACAGTGCACCCTCAAGAAGGGAGAATGGGCACCTCTGGAGAGGTTCACTGCCCTGAAGAGCAAGACTGGCTTGTAAATGGACAGACAAGAGTGAGGGAGGCAATTACAGTGAGGACAGGAATCAACTTCTCTTTTGTTTTCCTGTAACCTGGAGAAATGGATGAGGGCAGTGCCTAATGGAGCTTTGTCCAATCAGCAGAGGGATTCTATGTGCATGTCAGGCGAGGTTTTAGTCTTACTTGGTCATGGCCAGAATGAAGACGGTTGCCAAAGTCAAAATTGCAGCACAGATGCATCGAGGTCTAACTGGGTCATGGAAGTCAGATTAGGTTGATGTGGTGTTTGACTCCATTATGTGCTCATGTGTTGATCCGATGCTCACAGAGCTATATGTGTAGGACAGGTAAAGAGACGTGTGCTTTCCGGGAAGATTTGAGATCGCTCACTTAAGAAACTCTGCCTGTTGTCTGTTGGGAAATTTTCTTTCCCAGCTCAGCCACCTTCCTCTCAGCTCCAGCTCATGTCTAGCTCACTGCCTGCTCTGTCAGGTTCACCTTTCTTCTTCCTAAAATATTCCCTTTAACAGTTCATTCAGAAGGCCTGTGACAGTAAATGTTTTCAGATTTTGCTCAGGAATATTATCTCTTTGTCCTTAGCTTTAGTGATATTTTAGCTGGGAATTTTCAAGTCAGCAGTTAATTTTTCTCAGCACTCCACAAATGTCATCTCAGCGTCTTAAGGCTTTAATTGTTACTACTGAGAAGTTGAAGTTAGAGTCATTGTTGTTTGTAGGTAATCGATCTTTGCCCTAAAATTTTTCTCCTTCTCTTTGGTATTTTGTGAGGTTCAATTTGCAACACTAGGTGTGCATTTAACACTCATGTGCCATTGAGAATGAGTGTGTTTCTACGGAAGTGCGTGTTGGAAAGTTCTTTGTAGTCATCTTTTCAATATTTCCCTTTCTCACATTGTTTTTACTTTCTCCTTCATAATTTATATTTGAATATATGTTGGAATTCAACATTTCCCCCAGATCTTTGGTTTGCTCTTTCATATATTTTATCTCTGTCCTGATTTGAGTTGCTTCTGTATTTTGTTACAAGATACCTCCATATAGTTAATTTTCTCTCCATTAAATCCAACCCAAGTTCTTAACTTTCAAAAAGCTTAATCCTGCAGAAAAGTCAAAAAATCATGTAATAGACCCCCTTCACCTAAATTCAGTCATTGCTCAGATTTTATAAGTTTTTTTTCTCTCTCCTTTCCTCCCCAATAAGAACTAAATGTATTACTATGCACACACATTTTGATGATGCTTTTGAAAGTAAAATTTAGGCATTAGGGTAACTTCCAGAAGACCATTAGAGCCCCTGCAATCTATTTTTTAGAGCTCCTGTACTGGTCATGTCCCACAGTGAGTAGAAACACTGACGCTCCCACCACAGTGTAGAGAAGAATCCAATGCTCCTAGAGATTACATGAATTGCCCAAGGCCACACAGTGTAGAGAGGAGCAGGGACAAGAACCAAGGTCTCTGGGTGACTCTTTTCTGCTGATCAAGCCAGGGAATTGACTGCTCAGAGGTTGAGTCCTAGTCCTTCACGGCCCTGAATACAGGGCCCTGGGCTTTGTTCTCCCTGTAGGAGAGAAGCTGGAGTGGGAGGCAGAGACCTCAGACAGGGCAGGCAAGCTGGATATCTACTGGTCAGCCCCCTGCATTCATTAGATGCACACTTTGACACATATCTCTGGGTTATCTGCACAATCACCCTTTGAAAAAGAATTTTGAATCCCTTGATTTATCTTTTTGTCATTATTGTTCATAATAGTTTTCACTCAAAGGCGAGAGCATGCTTTCAAACTGACCTTTTAAACTTTGCAACGCTATGCCACAAAGGGGCACATGAAAGGAACAATGAGCGCATTCTCCATGTGTGACCCTGCTTGAAGTCTCCTTTGGTGAGGACATCAATGGGAAACGGGTACAAAGTGTCTAAGCTGCTTGCTCCTTCAGCTGATGGATGGCCCTCCGGGTGGAAGTCCCATGACCAGGGAGAGGACCGGCTGTTCCATGCTCAGTGGGCACATCATCCCCACCCTCTCACTGTGGCTTATGGCCACCAACTGACCTTAGGAGCCATTGGGAACACATGGAAAGACTGGACTACGTCTCATGGCTCCCGGGAGCCATGGAGGTTTCTGGATGGAAGAAGGATATGTAAATTAAAAGAAAGATCAAAGTACAGCATTTGGAGCCAGTGGCCTGCATTTTAGTCCTGGCTCTGGCACTTGTAAGTTGCACAGCCCTGTGTAAGTCACTTAGCTTCTGTGAGAGTCTTTCTGGCATTCAGCACCTGTTTATGGAGCATTAGGCTGGGCATCTGGGACATGGGAGCCTAAGAGAATCCTGTGGTCCTCTCTCTCCCTTAGTTACACTCTTACCAAGTGTATCACTTTTCCTTTGCTGTTTGTAGGCAACCTACATTTTTCCTAAGACTTTCCTCTGTCTCATTGGTATTCTGGTAGATCCACTATTACCAGACCCAGTAACGTAAAACAGCATGAATTTATTATCTTACGGTTTCTGCGGCTGAAGTCTGAACCAGTTCCATTGGCTACTATTGAGGGGGCATCTCTCTGGTGGCACTGGGGAGTCTGTTTCCTTGTCTTTCTCACCGTCTAGTGCCTACTGTGTCCTTGGCTGTGGGCCTTCCTCCATCTGCGGTGCACTCCGCTCCAGTTTCTGCTTCTGTCCTCATGTCTCCTCCTCATTTGTGTCAGAGTCCTTCTGCCTTCCTCTTGTAAAGACCCTGTGACTAGGTCCTACCTAGAGAATCCAAGAGAATCTCTTCATCTCAAGATCTTTGACTAAACCCCTTTGCTATAGAAGATAACATTTTCAGGCTCTGGGGTCTAGGATATAGGTCTCTTTGTGGGCCAGTTGATTACATCATGTCATGCAATTTATGCTTATTTATTTTATACTTCTAGGAGTCCTCCAGGCAGAGAGCGAAGCCTGCTAGATAACCCTGCAATGGATGCCGGGTGAGTTAAGGAATGAATAAAGGCAGACTTTGGAGTTGAAGGGAAAGGAGCATTTTAGTTAAGTTTTGGAGGGTTAATATGAGTTTGTCAAAGGACACTCAAAATGGAGTGAGTAGCTTATAAAAAGATGCACCTCTTGGACTGAGATGTTCAGCACTGGAAGTGCAGGTGGAACACAGAGGACCTAGAGTGAGATGACCAGCTCATGGGGAGTCCTATAGGACACTACAGTGAGCCTGGCTTTTATAAGGAATCTGTTTGGGTGGTGGTTGCTGCCATTATCTTTGGAGTTATGGCTACTGTTTAAATTTCTGTGCTGACATTTACTAGCTTTATTACCCTGGAAAAATTTCTAAACCCCTCTGTTTAGTGAGGTGAAATAACTGCTTTATAAAACTGTTCTGAGAGACAGATGATATTAAGGCTTGCAGGGCACTCATCTTGTTGCTGTTGTTATTTTCATAAGTATGGTTACTGTTGCCGTTGGTGGTGGTGGTGGTGATGACAGGGAACATTTGAAGACTTGCTGCCAGGTGACAAGAGTCATGGTCAGAGTTGCTTTGTAGAGAGGTGACATGTGGAGGTGTAGAGTGCCAAAGAGTGGCCATACTGGAAATCAGGAAGGCAGCAGAGGCCACTGACATAATTTGGGTGTGAGATCAGAAGGCTGAGAGCATAGAAGGGTTCGGGAGAGATAAACACGAGTGTTTGCCCATGCCTGACATGGCTGAAGATAGACTGGAGAAGCCACCTACCCTAGTACTTCCACTCTCATTTTTCTGATAGAAGAGAGAGGCAGAGCAGATGGAGGCATGGAAGCAGGCAGAGGCTTTGGAGGAAAGTGTGGTTCATCCCTTCCCAGTGGCGTGCTCCTACTGGCTGCACCTCCACATCCTTCTCCATACCCTCTGAGCTGTGACCCCTCTTCCAGCTCATTCTTGCACCATTTCCCACGGACACACCTCTAGAATCCTGGAGGGGTCAGACTCAGGTGGAGGAAATGCTCTATAGAATGGAACGTATCGGGGAGGAGGAACTGCCTGAGAGAGAGGAAGAGGTGCTTGGTGTTCTGGAGCCAGCAGAGAGACCAAGTGCAAAGCAGCACGTGCTTGCACATGGGCTGTGTACTGCACGTCCCCCACAGTCTTCCACTCACACCCTTCATACATCTTGAGAGAGGAAACCAATTCAATGGAGTGCACCGTGGCAAGACTGCGATTGTGCTCCAGTCCTATCTTACCCTGCAAGGATGTTGGAGGAAAATATATTTCAGTAACATATTCAAAAGACCTGCCAGTTTTTTTAAACACAGTAAATGGGCTTTCAGAGAGTGATGTAATATTATTATTTTTAATAAATGCTTTTCAAAAAGTGATTTCCCTTTAGTTTAGATTAATGCATGCTGGAGGAGAAAAAAAAGGGGGGCCTAAGGGGACAACTTTAAGTTCTGTGTGCATGCATCTGAATCTGCAAAGCAGAATTATGGGGTGACTTTTCAAGTAATGGGAAGATGCAGGACTAGTTCTTTCGAACATTCTGATGCATTTCAGAGGGCTTTTATAAATAGTTGCTGATGATTTTACAGTGGGGGCTGGGAGAGGGGGAGCAAGCAAAGAAAAATCTCATGGAGACAGATGAAGACATCCTGTGCAATGATCAGAAGAACTCGATCTCTTTGTAAGTGTGTCTCCCAACATTACTGCAGTGCCACCTGTGGATATGTTGGCATTCAGTGACAAGTGTCAAACCACAGAGTTCAGTGTCCAGTAGTGGTTGGTGTTCAGCTTCTTTGGGAGAACAGAGCACTGAGTGGTCCCTAGGAGGTCATTTGGAGCTATCTTCTGTGGAACTCCTCCTGAGAGAGGGCCATACAATCAAGACACATCTGCATGTCAGGGGCCAGCGGTACCACTTCTAGATTCCCATGCAGGGCCCCTCCCGGTCTTCTTTGCTGCTTGTGTCTCTGTGTCATGCTGTTCTTGCTCACTGACATTTTCTCTTTCCCAGGAAGAGTCAGTTGCCAGCGTCCAGCAAGGTGGATGATGAGCTGGATGCCCTTCAGCTTGGTAGGTATAGCAGGTGCCTCTGTGTTGTCCCTGTAGGGCCTCCCCAGCCTCTCCTGGGAGACAGTGAGTAGTGGGCATTTTCTCTGAGCTGAGATAGGGACTCTTTTCCTCCTACCTGATCTCAGGAAGCAGGGCCAGGTGTCTCTTTTCTGTCCATGTCTTTTTTTACTGCCTGCTTTTTTTTTTTCTGCTGGAAAAGTCCTGAGCAATCTGATCATTTCAGAATGACACAGTGGGACCAGAGAAACTCTCTGTGTTTCCAGTTTCGTTAGGACCCCTCAGAGCCTACAGAGCTTTTCAGAAGACAGTTCTACTGAGGCTTTCAGAATACCAGTGTAGTTCTGTCAGGGAGGTCTATCAGTTTTGAAAGTTTACAAATATGCTTTTGAAATACAAACGTGTCATGGATATGCCAATGGAGTTACTCTTGAAAACCAAGATAGAGAATGTTCCATTCTGCTCTTTAAGGTGAAGTAGTTTTTGTTCCTCCCTGAAAATCTCTGCTCCTCAAAGACCAGGAGCTGGGCAAATGCAGCCATAGAACTGAGGATGCTGGGCCAGGGACAGGATATGAGAGGATGAACTGGAGTGCCATTGACATTTGCTCCTTTTCTGGAAGACAGCCACTTACCTGTTGGCAGTTTTGGCATACGAGAGCTGTTCACATACTTCCTTCTCCCCTTTAAGTATTCCCTTTTAAGTTACAAGAAGAAAGCAATGCCCCCTTAGAAATGCCTTGTGTGAGATGTGGGCCCCGTGGTGTGCTTTGATCAAGTTGAAAGCGAGGGCCAGGCCCCTGAACAGCAGAGACATGGGTTGTTTATGCCTCTTAACTCACTTCAGAGGTAACAGAGCTTCTGAGTCTTAATCACCAGAAGTGGCTGGCAGCGTGATCCTGCCCTGCCCAGGAAGGGCAGGCTTCTGTCCATGACTGCAGAGTAAAGGATGGAGTCAGGGAGCCCTGACATCCAAAGCCTTCTGGGAGACACTGCACTTGACTTTCTGATGAAAGGCACTCATGTTTGGGCAGAAAGTAAAGCAGTTCCCAGCCTTCAGAACCCAGAGAGCTTCTGTTAAAAGGAAGGCTTTTAGCAATTCTCAGAAGCCAGCTGTTTGTGTGTGTGTGTGTGTGTGTGTGTGTGTGTGTGTGTGTGTGTTTGGGTGACTTAGCTAACTAGAAAAAAAAAAGGAGATAAAGGATAAGAACCAAGGGGACACAGTCATCCAGAGAGTTTAGGGAAAGGGAACAGCACAGAGTAGTCTTATGGGAAAGAGGATACCACAGTGGTACAGAAACAAGCATCACTTAGATTACAGGGGCAGCACCCTTCCCCATGCCAATCCAGTTTCCTGTGGTTTGGTTCAGTGACTTTTGTCAGCGAGTGCCCACCAGAGTATTGGAAATGCTCTGAAGCAGACCAGATGAGTGAAGGAGGGCAGGACTGGGGGACAGAGGAGAGAGGGTGTCCTCTCATGGTAACACATGAAGCATACAACCTGTGTGCTCCATTGCTTTGAGAAGGCAGATGCCAAGTTCTGTGGTAGGTTCTGGAAGTTTCACAGCAAGAGGACATTTAGGCTGAACCTCAGAAGACAGGCAAAACACAGATGTGGGAGGAAATGCATAGGCAAATACCTGGAGCGAGAAAGGCAGGTTGGCTGGAGGAGTGTGACCTACAGGAAGTGGGGGGCCAGGGGCTCGGGGCTGGGGCACAGCCTGGGCAGGCAGAGGCCTGCGAATGCTGCGCGCAGGAGTTGCATGGTGAGCTGTGGGGAAGGAGGGGGCCCTGAACATCTGCACTAGGGGTGATAGAGCCTGAACTTTGGTGTAGGATGGTTTTTAGGGTAAGAACCTGGATATCAGAGACTGTGAGTGGGGCTTGGCATAGTCCAAAAAAGCAGTGATGAGGCTCTGTGCTCCCTGGAGAGCCCTTTGGGTATTTCAGGGTCCTATAGGATAATTTCCTGATCTTTTATGGCAGAATTCGTTGCTGCCAAGACCTTTGTACTCTTCCTATTCCTGCATTCACTTATTATATTATAATTTGCCAGGGACTCTGTCTCCCCTTCTGAGCAGGAAGCTCTTTGAATGCCTTCATCACTGTTCAACTTCTTCTGTTCCACATTGTCCCCGGCACATCGGTCAAGGGTGCTCAATAAAGCACTTAATAAATAAAAAAGTAATGACCTGTCCCTCTAACAGTGGAGGGAAGAAGGTGGTGGCCTTCAGGTAGGAGGCATTCTGCAGGTGGCATAAGCCTGAGGCTATAGCGGTGTGTGAGAGGGACAGAGCTGAGGTGGCAGCCTGGGGTATCTAAGGAAGGTGGGCAGCGGGAAAGGGTTTTATCAAAGCGGAAGCCTGGAAAAGTGTGGAAGACGTTTTGGGGTTAGTGGGATAAAGATGTAATTTCAAACAGCTCCTATGGAAAAACAGCTATTAGGCCATTTTCCTTATAGACTCCTTCTTGAAATGATATTTCTCTCTTTCTCTGTCTCTCTCTCTCTCTGTCTCTCTGTCTCTGTCTCTCTGTCTCTGTCTCTCTCTGTCTCTCTGTCTCTCTCTCTCTCTCTCTCTCTCTCTCTCTCTCTCTCTCTCTCTCTCTGTCTCTTTCTGCTTGTTATTTTCAACCAGACATCTGTACAAGCACCTTAAAAATAGCATTCTCAAACCACTGGCATTTGCAGATGGTTTTTTCTGGTTGAACAACGTGTCATTCTGGAGCATTCTGTTTTTCCCTTGCATGGCGGTCTCACCACATCTGGACCCAAGACCTCCCCTGTGGTCCTATAGCAGCAACCTGCACTGGGCTAGTTCTTCCCCAAGAAGCCCACGGAGGCTGCCTGCACCTAGGAGCTCTCCTTCTTGTGCTTTCTGGACCTGCTTCCACTTCCACTGTGGGCTCCCAGCTTCCACTGTGGCTCACTTCATGGGACTGGGAGACCCTGCTCCCTCTCTGACAAAGTGAGGCTGAAGGACGATATTCATATAGGCATAAATACTGTCCCTTCTGTGCTACCAGAAGACGCTGCTGTCTGGGGCCTGGTGGAGTCTCTCAGGTTACAGCAGCCCTCAGTTTGGGGCCCCAGTGGAATTAATCCTACATCTCCATTCTTCCCAGCCAGTTCTACCAGGCAAAGCCTGCCTTCTCCTCCCTCTTCTTTCCCTTCTTTATTTCCATTCACCCTGCACACCCTCTGGAAATTCTTGATCATTCTCTTCGGCTTAAACTCAGTCCTTTTGCTGGCAGGTGTCCTCGCACACGTGTAATATTGCTTGTGTGCATGTAGTTTTGCCTAATGTAAATAGTATCACATTACATACCTCATTTGATTTCTTACTTTCTCTATTCTGTGCCATGTTTTTAAAGATCCATTATTGAGACTGAATGAACATCTGGTCTTTATTTTGGGTTATTTTTGTAGAGCTAGGTCGCAGGGTAGCTTTTTTAGAGTTTCTAACTAAGAGGGGTTCTCATTTGAATTCAGCTTTTTATTTAAATTCCAGACTTTTCTTCAGCCTAAAGGTAAATCAGCCTCCTAATTCAGCAGCCTCAGTCTCTAGTTTACTTTGTGTGATGGATGGATCTTTCCTAGGCCAGTAAAGGAACAAGATATGAGTTGTATGTGCTAGGCATGTTGACACCCCTCATCCCAACCAAGGCTACTCGAGAACCTCCTCTGAGGAGCTGCAGTTTAAGGATCCTCTGGAGTCTGTTCCACTTGGCTGTGCTGGCACATTTGCCTTGAAATTGTCTCCCTTAAATTCTGGTAAATGCCAGGGTAGAAGAATGTGAGAAGGTCTCAGTCAGCTAGGAAATAGTGGGCCATTGCTGCCAAAGACTCCAGTGGAAGCCTCTCTGGGCCTCAGTTCCCCCAACTGTACAATGGCAGTATCTGGATATGGATTGGCATCTCTGGGGGCCACTGAGGGTGGTGGTGTTGGTGGCAGGATGGCGGAGTGGTTAGCAGTCAGAGCAGTTCACAATCTGTCTGCCATTTTCCGTTTGCCTAATGTGAGGCCAGGCAGTGTGTTCCTCTATGCTTCAGTGTCCTCGTTGTCAGCGGAGGAGACATAGTGAGTCTAGGGCTGCAGATGTAGCTCAGAGGTACAGTGCTTGCCTGACATGTAGGAGGGCCTGAGTTCTACCCCCAGACAAGGAAAAAGGAAATACTCTCTGATACAGATGTTAAGAGACTGGGTAAAGCAATCTAAATGGCCAGTAAATGTGAGCTACTACTATTATTTTTTCAGAAGTGGACACTTTTTATTTCTCAATTCTGTCATCTTCACACTCATCTTCAGGTGACAGACCTGTGCACCACACCTCAGAAATGTCTTTGAACCAGGCTTTCCTGCACCTGGGTCATGAGCCAACGTGTGACCCTTTCTAGTGGGCCAGTGGTAAATCCCAGCCATCAGCATCCTGGTGGCATATGAGGGGGAAGGCTGCAGTAGGAACCAGCAGCCCTTTGACCTGCTTCCTTTCCTTCTGGAGATGCCTTGGGGGGTACCAAAGGGAAGGCCAAGGGGAGATGGGAGGAGCCTCCTTCTGCTCAAGCTGGCTCTGAACTTGCAAGTGTCTGCAGTGTTAATGACTTCCTGTTCCATTCTCCTTGGGTCACACCATGGTCATGGTTTTCTTCCAGAGGACGTGGAGGATGAGTTGATAAGGGAAGACGTCATCCTGGCCCCAGCCCCATCAATGCTCAAGCTGCAGATAGTGTCAAAGCCCATTGACCTCTCAGCAGCCAAGGTAGGTGTTCCCTTAGAAGTGGAAAGAGAATTCCACATTAAATTTGTGCTTGTGTGGACAGCATGAGTTTTGCATTTTTGGCCCTGTCCTTCTCATTGTAATCTCTTGGTCACTGCTGAATTGAAAATTTGAGTGTAATGTCAAAGAAATTTCAGCCAAGGGACAGGAAAGCTGTTCTGGTCCTGGTAGCTCTCTTTCCCTCTCCAAATACTAAGAGTTTCTTTCTTTCTTTCTTTCTTTCTTTCTTTCTTTCTTTCTTTCTTTCTTTCTTTCTTTCTTTCTTCCTTCCTTCCTTCCTTCCTTCCTTCCTTCCTTCCTTCCTTCCTTCCTTCTTTCTGTCTTGCTATGTAGTTCAATCTGGCCTGGAAGCTGTAATCCTCTGCCTCAGCCATCTGTATGCTCAGGCATGCACCCTTGTGCCTGGCTAGGACCTAGTTCTAGCCAGGATCTGGTTCACTGCATCCCTGTCAGGTGCAGTCCAAGGTGTGAATGAGAATAAGACATTTGTCCCTGAGAGACTGGCTGTGTTCCTACAGTGGCTCTTATGCTAGACTTGGGCCCACTGCAGCAGAGGAAGGACAGGGAGGGTCACAGTTGTTCAGCACCATTCAGGTTTGCACCTGCAGCCCTTGAAAGAGACCCATAGTCACAAGACTTCGGGAGTAGGTTCCTGGTTTTAGCAGCCTGCTCTCTAGGGGTGTCTGGAGTTCCCCACTGCTCTCGGCTCCCAGGAAGGCGTCGCACTGGCCCCTCTAGTCAGGGTCCAGGAGAAAGCATGGAAACTCTTGTGGGCATAGCCAGCCTCCTCTTTTCACCTACTGTATATTTACTTGGACCCAGATCAACAAACACAACACTTTTCTAGAAGCTTTGTCCTTCCCCTTTTTTCTTCTTCTCTTCTGTTTCTTTTTCCTTCCTTTTCCACTTTGAATCCACACTCAAGGGGACCGAAAGCTAGGGGCACTCACTCTGGTCATTAAAGCCACAAGGCTGGATTTCTTTATAAAGGGTATATTCCTATCTGGGCTGGGATCTTGGGTATCCGTAAAGAGCATCCCACAAAAGCATGTACAAAATAGTGAAGCCAGCAGAGAGAAGAGGGGACCAGGGCGTGGAGGGCAAGTAAAGCCCAGACTTCCAGGCTGTCCCCTACACTGACGGGAGCTGTCAGTCTGTGGCTAGGATAACAGAGAGGGAGTTGGGCTAGAAAATCCAAATCTCTTTAGTTCCAGGCTCTCAGGGAATGTGATTCAAATACAGAGATGACTGTAGTTGGCACAAGAGGAGTACTGAGCCATCAGACGAATTCACACCTCCAATGTGCCTCTGGTCCACGCTGGATGACACAAACACTTCTGGCATAAACAGATTTGCTTATACTTAAGGAAAACAAAAAGAGAGCTGATTCTGGTGGGGAGTAAAGGGAGTCAGTAAGACTGACCTGACTTGAGAGGGATCCAGTGGAGGGGCTACAGAACCCACCTGTTGGTCCTGGAATTCACTGGAGCCTTTGGAGTCCCCATGGGTATAAAATCATGGCTGAGAGATGACTGGCTCAGGAAGCAGGAGCATCCGAGAGGCCCTGCCTCCCTTCGGAGGCTTCCCAGGGGGAGGGGTTGGCTCATCCTGGAGCACTGGATGGTGGTGCTTGGAATGATGGGAGATGAACAGTGAGGGCAGCACCATCCAGAGGCCTAGAGAAGACAGCTCTGAGAAAATGGAGAGGCTGCTGTGAGGAGGTGGGGTGCTCTGGCAGAGTTCATGGGAGGTCTCTCACAGGTTACACCACATAGTGAATTTTTTTTTTTTTAACCAGGAGACCTTGCACTTGCCAGGCAGGCACTATGCCACAGAGCTGTATCCCCAGCCCTGGAATTCTTTTTCTGTAAAGGGCTACGCAACGTGTTTTCAATTTTGCTTGTCCTATGGTCTCTATTTCAAACACTCTTTTCTGTTGCTGTGATGTAAAGCAGCCATAGACAGAAGGTAAATAAATAGACATTACCCTGTGCTGATAAAACTTTATTTATAAAAATAGGTATGTGCTGGATTTGATTCATAGATTATTACTTGTCAGCCCTGTGCCAGAACACTGGTTCTCAAATTTGGTTGCAAAGTGAAATCACTCAGTTTTTAAACTCCTGGTACTAAGGCTGGGCATAGAACTCAATGGTAGAGCCCTAGCCTAGCATGTGCCAGGCCCTGGATTAGTTCCCTAGCATTGTCTGAAACCAAAAACATGAAACTTCTAATAGAGGAGTCTCACTCTAAGGAATTTGAATTTAATTGGCCTTGCTGGTGGCCTGAGTGTCAGAATTATTTTTAACAGCTCCTTAGGTGATTTCAGTGTGAGATAAGGTCTGAGACTTTTAGTCTTTCTTATGAAGGATTGGAGGACCACTAAGATCCTTCGGAATACTCAAGTTTCATGTTTCAAGGTCTGCATAAGGAACCTACAAAATTTTGGTTTGTGTTGACCCAGACTGGTTTGGATTTCAGATGTTCCACAGGTAAGTCCCTCAAGATTAGGCTTCTCTTCTTTCAAATATAATAAGCAAGGGCTTTGAAAAAAAATAGGAAAGAAACAACCCTGCTGGAAAAATGCACTGGGCTTCTAGAACTAAAGTCCAGCCCCAACAGGGGCTGCATACTGAACATGACAGTGTTTACTTTGAAAACAACCAGTAACACTCTCTTCTTTCCATAGGAAATCAAGACACTTCTGTTTGGTTCTACCTATTGCTGCTTCAATGAGGAATGGAAACGTCAGAGCTTTTCCTTTAGTGACACAGCCTCCTTAAGATATGGCATCGTTCAGAACAAGGCAGGTGATCCTTGTGCTTCGGGGCGGGGTGTCAGTGTGTCCTGGTTCACCATGGCCAGCTAGTCCCATGTTTACTGAGTAGTCCTTGGGGCAAATTCTCAGTGTGTGGCTGGGGATGCAGACCCCTGATTGTGGACATTCTAGAAAAATACCTACTTGCTGTGGGTGCTGCACCACACAGGATGCCTGTCCAGGAGGAGCAGAAGGCAGCCTTGAGTGTGCTTGGGATGCTGAAGGTTTCTCTTAGGCTGAGCTTTGAAAATGCCAGATTATATAGGTAGAGCAGGAGAAGGGGCATGCTAGGCAGGTGCAGGGGCGAAGTCTATAGAGGCTGCAGGGGAAGGCTGAGATGTCAGTGTACAGAGAAGAGAGTGGAAGAAAAGCAAGAAAGATGAATAGAGGTGGCAGGCTTTACACATGGCCTGGACATAGTTCCTGAGATACACCTGGGAAAGCCCAAAGATACTCTTAACTCTGGAACCAAGAATCACCGCATGGCATAGGCAACTCAAGCAGGTTCCATTCCTTGGGATCCCACAGCCTCTCCTTATCCCATATTGCCCAAGGAATAGTACCAGGAGCACTGGCTTCAAGCACTCCTTTGCATGGTGAAACTCAGCCTCTCTTCCTGCACGTCAACTTCAGGGGCACCTCTGGCCTGCTGCTCTGGGGATTGTTGGTGCTGTTCAGTTTCATTGATGTTTGCTGATATATCCGAGGGACCTGGGGTGATGCCAAGCCTGTTATGTGCAGGGATGAGCTCTTCCAGAATCTCTCATATGACAGTGTGAGAGGGATCAAAGACACAGTGCGGTGTTGAGGCAGCTGCCAGGATGAGCAGGAGGGAGCTCAAGTAGCAAATGCTGCTATATCATCTGACTGCCAGCCAAGATAGATAAGGAAGGCTTCTTGGAGGAGAAGACCCTTAGGATGGGTCTTGAGACCCCAGTATATGACTGAAACTCAGCCTGTGCACATTGAAACATTTCCCTGGATGACGGGAAACCTATGATAACGTTGCTGGTTTTAGGTATGATGGGTTGCGAATAGCCACTTTCTTCCCATAATTCCTTGCAGACTCACCCTTTCCTTTAGGGATGGGGATTGGGGCTTTGTCCCCCCCCCCCCCCCCGTCTTCATGATTGCATTGTAGATAATCACCATGCCAAAGACCTCCGTTGGTGAGGGAGTAGTACAGTGGGACTGTGCCCTGTGACCTGGGATGGGTCCTACAGGATGGGTCTGAGGCTCTGTCCCACCCTAGTGCCAGTGCTGACACATGTTGCTCTCTGCAGGGTGGCCCCTGTGGGGTGCTGGCGGCCGTCCAAAGTTGTGTGCTGCAGAAGCTCCTGTTTGGAGGGGAGAGTGGAGCCGACCGTGCTGTGTAAGTCTGCTGGCTCTCCTGCGGCAGCTGCAGAGTATCCAGCACAAACAAGTGGGGAAGTGTGTGTGTTCCTTAATATTTCCCGTCTTCTGGAGGTCAAGATGGGAGAGGTCACAGCGGTCAGCCCAGTGGACCTGCCTGCCTTCATTTCTGGGAACAGGGAGGGCTGGTGGACACTGTACCCTGTGATCAGCAGTTGCTGGAAGCGTTGAAACCAAGCCCACTGTCCCTTCAGAAGGCTGCACAGCACTGCAATGCCTTTCACACCCACGCTGGCCTGCTGAACCTCTGGCCCACGTGGGGCTCCCCACCTTCCCACACTAGTACCCCTCTGCCAACAGCTTGAACCATGAATCCCGAGCAGCGCTACAGCACATCGCTTCCTCTCCAGGCAGCCACGCATTTTCCATTTCACACATTAAGTGTTTGCATCTGGGCAACTCACGCTCCTGGAATGTCTCTGTGCGGGCAGTGGGAGGCAGGAAGAATCAGATATTACCTCCCCACCCTTTCTAGAGATGCTCTGCGCGGTCCAGCGACCCAGAGAGAGGCATAACCCCACCATGGTTGGTGCCAAGATAAAACATGGGGATGTGCTGCAGGCCAGCAAGTCCTCCCAAGGAGGCCGTCTTCTTTCTTTTTCCTCTTCAAATGCTCAGTTATTAGCTTGTACCCAGACAGGCTCAGAGCTACAGAACCTCTGGGACTCGTGTTTTTCTTTTTAGTTGATATATTAAAAAATTTCACACCCGTGAACACATTACCCAGATCAAGAGAGAAAATATTTCCAGCACTTTGGAGAATCCCTTGCGTGTGGCTCATAGATACTCCTCCCGCTTCCTGAAGTTAGAGGTGAACAGGTTCTAAACTCCTAACTTAGTTTCGCCAGTTCCTGGAACTTTATGAAAGATACTTACTTGTTGACTGAAATGAGTATTTTAGCACTTTTAAAACATGCTCAGGCCAGCTCAGTTCAGAGATGCGATTCCCTGGAAACAGGGTAGGGATAGGGGTTGGCACTGACCAAGCTTGGTTCTCAGTAGGACACTTGCAATGAGTATTACTTTGCTTTAGGCAGGATCTGAGTGAAGGTAGTTTCTTCTTTTTGGCATCTTATAATTTTTTCAATAGTTTTACAGGACACTTACCAGGTTGTTTTATAAGACAATTATCAGGTTACGGGTAGACCAGAAGATGCTACCTATAAGCCCAGCTGTGTGACATTTCCGTAACATGATCACACCTTGTCCTCACTGGTTGCTTTGCTTCCTGTCCTGGGTCTGTCCACAGCCACTTCCTGAATATGCAGGGTCATACTCTGTATCCTGTGGAAGGCTGGCCCAGCATAGTGTAGCAGTTGGAGTTTAATTTCACAGGCAGAGACCTTGCCAGTGACTCCTGGTGAGACTAGTACAGTGCAGTGCCCAAAAGTACTCCTAAGGGGGTGGCACTTGCTAAGTGAGGGACCCGTGGCTGTGCTCAGAGGGTGCAGGGAACTCTCTGAGCACAAAAGCTTCTGCCTACCTCCCTTCCTAACATGCATGTACAAGAAGTATGCAAAATGTGCTTTTCCAGGTGCTTGGCAAGCCTAGGGGGCTGAACAGGACAGATGTGGCAATTATGACTGAGCAGAACAGGGGGTGACAGGTGAGCCTCCAAGGCTTTACCTGAACCTAGCCATGAAGGGCAGGCTTCCTGGAGAGGGCATTTTAACCTCAGTGCTATCCAAAGGAGGAATAGAGCCCTGATTTCCTTTCCCACACACCCTTGCATACACTTACTCTTTTTCCTCCCCCTAGTTAGCACCCTCAAATTCGTTGCCTGATGGCTCCTCTCAGCACAGGACTTCATGGAGCCCTTCCCTCACTTTCCAGGGAGGACACACCTGGCCCTGTCTCTCTTACCACCCCCCCGCCATGTGAGTCCGTGGACTCACGTGGCCGTGTCTTCGCCCTCCCTACAGAACACAAACTCCATGAGAAAGGGCCTTTCCAGGCTGCCTGTTCCACAACTGTGTTGCTGGCAGTCAGCCGGTTCTCTGGTTCACAGGAGAGGCCCTCAGAATTTTTGTTGAATGAACACATGGACAAATGAATGCGCTATCCAGACAAATGAGCAGGGAGGCAGAATTGTTTTCCAGTAAAGAGAACAAAATGTGCAGAGGACTGAGGGCAGAAGAAAGTGCAGAGTGGTGCTAGGGGTGGTCAAGGCTACATTTTGAGGGACAGGTGTGACCTGGGCTTGGGAGTGAAGTAGTGCCAGGCCACCAGGAGGGACTTGGGCTCTCGGGACCACCAGCTACACTGAGCAAGCTTTGCCCCTGTGAGCAATGTCTCATGACTCATTTTAGCCCAGGGCTGAAGAATTGCTTTTGAATTTCAGTTCTGGACTTTTGGGGAAGGTTGCAGATGGTTTCCCAACAACCAGGATGTAATATTTACATTGCTTCCAATAAAGGCTATTTTGGCCCAGGGCACAAGGCTGGCGTGGCTCCTTTTTGCCTATCACACCACCTCACTAAGGATATAAGGGCTTTTAGATCCCTGTGTTAGTCAGCTTTTTTGTCAGCTATTTGTGACCAAATACCTGAGAATATCAATTTATAGGAAGAAAGGTTTATTTTGGCTCATGGTTTCAGAGATTTCAGTCCATGGACGATTGGTTCCTTTGCCAGGCAGGAAGGGTGTGGCGGGGGGAAGATCCTCACCCAACAGCAACTGGGAAGCAGAGGAAGGCGGAAGAGCTAGTGAAAGGGGGGCTGTACCATGGCAGAGCTGAGACTGGCACATGACACCCTTGTCTGTCACACCACACTACTGGGCTTTAGATGGTTGTGTGTTTGAAAGAGCCAAATAAACTCTGTTTAGGAACGGTGTTTTTTTCCTTCTCTTTGCCCTAATTTAGAAATGTTCAACACCAAGGTGTACGGAGATGTGAGTAGAGTGTAGTGATGGTGCATAGACTTCTCCCACCCAGCTCCTTGGCATCTGTGGACCGACCTGTGAATAATTTATGCTGATAGATTGGGTTGTTGGTGCTTCTGTGCCAACCATGTGGCTTTGGGACTGCAGTGCCCCCTTTGACTCTGAAATTCCAGGATTGCAGAAATGATCTGGCTTTTTAGGACAGGAGGCACAGTCCTCTGTTGTCTGTGAGAGCAACTCAATGGCCCGCTGCCGGCCAGCCTGCAATCCGCACATCTGCAGCTCACAGCCCCGGGGTGGCCCTTTTCTTTCCTGCACATGGAATCTGAAGGTCTAGCTCAGGGCTTGTGGTTCTGTGAAAGCGGAGTGCAGGATGCAGTGACACCCTCCAGGGCAGTTGTCCTGAAATGAAGGCAGATTGGCAGGGGTGGTGTTTTTTCTGTAGGACTGTCTGGCCTCATTAAGACTCGTTCCATCAGGCAGGCAGCCCGCCTCTCCTCCACCCGCCTGGTCAGGCTGCGGTGTTTTTCCACTTGAGGAGGGCTTGTGCCCTCAGCCATTGGGCAGAGAAAATGAGTTTTCAGTCTCCCTGCAGGCCTGGACAGAGCCCCAGGCCAGGAAGGGCCCTCAGAGGCTGTTTGGCTGGACCCAGGGAATATCAGGGATGCCATCCTGTCACCTCCACTTCCTTTCTTAAATTGGGGCACTCAAAACTCATTGGAGAGGCTGTCTTGAGATACAGGGCCAAGAGTAGAAACACCACTTTACTCTGAAACACTTGGGTGAGTGCAGGATGTATTATTCCCCACCTCCACCTCCCTGGACACTTTTCCTGGGAGGAATTGAACTCTTAGAGACTTCTCCTGTTATAAGAGCCTGGCCAGGTGCCTGACTTGACAGATGTGTCCGACTCCTTGACAGTGTGGGATCTCATGGTCACTCAGGGGCCACCGGTGGAGGCTGCTGCGGAGCTTTTCGGTGAAGGCAGAGTCTGAGGGATCCCTTCCTCCTTCCTCTACTGTCACTGTGGGACAAGCATGCAGGCACACATGTGCACGCTGCCCTGTCAGCTCTGGGGCAGGTGAAAGGACAGAATGGTAATATTGCAATGGTGGCAGGGGCATCTGACTCAGTGCCTGTATTCACTTGCTCCTCAGAGGAAACGGTACTGCACTATTACCCTGCTGAACAATCTGTGAGCAAGGTGGGAAGCAAAGACCAGGGAAGGCCAGGGGTCCCCCAAACCTGTGAGCCAAGAGAGGGCAGGCTGCTCAACTGCCAAGCATTGCACATTCCCAGCCACTCTGTGTCTCAGAAAGACAGCGAACCAGGGAAGTGTGGGGAGACTGGGGAATTACTATACAGGAGCTGGCAGAGAGATGGAGGCTCAGAGCCACTGACTGCAGAGTTTGAGGGCTCAGGGAGAGGCCCAGGAGCAAGTCTTCCTGGCTCCGTCATAAGATTCTAGAAAGAGGAACTCAAGCAAAGTGACTACCTGAGAGTTGGTTGTACTCTCCCAGGCTCTCCTTCCCTCAATGTTCTTTCTTTCTTTCTTTCTTTCTTTCTTTCTTTCTTTCTTTCTTTCTTTCTTTCTTTCCTCCAGTTTTTACTAACAGTGTGATTTTGGGTAAATTGTACCCATGCCTCAGTTTCCCCACTTAAAAAAGTGGAATAGTGTCTACCTCATAGCCCCCCCCCCCCAATTTGCCAAAATGAAACATACGAAGTGCTTATTAACAGTGCCTGGTGTAAATACTCAGCATAGATAGGCTTTTTAAGTTTTTTTAAGACTCAAGATCAAAAACAGTGGTACAGAATTGCAAAACGACATAGGAGGTTAACAATGGTTAATATATTGCCTGTTGCTACATGAGAGGCTTCCTCTCTTCCTGCTTCCCTAGGTGGTAGAGCATGGTGTTTGGCAGGGTCTTCTCTGCTCCATCGTTGGTGGTTTTGCAGCACAGGTGCTTGAAGTAAGGCACACAATCTGGGCATCCTCCTGGTGCTAGAGATTTTAATCGGGGACCACTGTGTCCACCCTGCACACACAGATTGTGTATTGAGGCCTGGAGGTGCTCAGGAGGAGTAGAAAGGCTAAAAGAGCTTAGCTGAGGAGAAGGCAGAAGAGCATGCATGTGAGATGTGGGATGTCCTGTGGGTAGGGTGTCGCCACCTCTTGAAGGAGGGCAGGGCATGGAACAGGGGCCGTAGGGGGTGACAGAGACACACTTGTGTTTTCTGAACCCTGAGATAAACACACTGTCCTTCCTCCTTCATCTGTCAAGCTCTGCATTCCAGGCCCCCGTAGTCTTTGGGAGTCCTCTCCTGAAACCTTGAGTAATGTTTTCTCAGTGTTGTTTTCCTAGTTAGTTGTACCCTGGGCCAGGGCTCCCGAAAGCACGGATTGTTCAGCTGAGTGATCGTGTAGTAACCATTTCCTCTGAGGAACAAGATGGCTTCCTGAACTCAGAGAGGGTCAAGCAGTGGACTGGTTTGTTTTTTTTTTTAAAGAACTTTGAATATTTGCTGCTTGCCTTGTTGCATCTGAAGGATTTGAGGTGTCAGGCACATGGTGCCAATTTCATACACATGTGGGGAGCACACTTTTGAGGACTGGAGTTTTCACAGACAGTAATGATAGGAACCACTGATTACATTCCAGGCACAGGGCTGCGGGCCTTGCAAACATTAGCTCCCAATGCTATAAGGGGGTGCAATTTTCATTGCCAGGTTCTGGATAGGGAAAACTGAGGGACCTCTTGTTTTAAAGTGGTGGGACCACAATGGCCTGGCTAGATCCCTGGCTATGTGTCCTACCCTTAGGCTGTGAGCACTTGCTACCTACCACGCTGGCTACGTCCTGGTCTCCTGCCCAGAAGGTAGAGTAAATTTCAGTGTGTGTGTATGTGTGTTCTTCATCTGTTTATTTTGTTTTTTACTTTTTTTGAGATAAAGTCTTGCTGTGTAGCCAAGGCTACCCCTGAACACATGATGCTCTGCCTCAGCCTCCTGAGTAGTGGGATGACAGATGTGTTCCACTGTGCCCAGACAATATTCATTCATCCTCCCTCGCACATCTCAATATGGGTTCAGGTGTTATTTAGTAACTGAAAAGCTGGAATAGCCTCTCTGCATTCCTTTGACCCTCAGCAGGATCTTCATCAAGCCCTTTGTTTGTGAAGAGGAGAGACCCACTAAGACTAGCTTTTGAAATTAGAAAAAAAATTCACAGAATGCAGGGGAAGTCAAGAAGCGCAGCTCTAAGGAGTCCTAGAAATGTCACATGGAAAGAAACATCTATATTTGGCTGTTTCCCTCCCTCCCTCTCATTCACTCCATACACCAGGAACCTCTTAGTCAACATTTCTATTGCAAGACAGCTCTTGCCACTTTTGATTGCACTGCCTGCCTGTGCTTCTTAAAGCCTTTTGTTCCTAGCCTAGGTCGCTGCCTGCCTTCCTCACCCTGCTCTGTCTCTTTGACGCTGATACCTTGGAGGTCTGCAAGCTCCACTTTGGGCTGGCTGCTGATCTGCCCTTTCTCACCTTCTCTCTGGGCAGTGTCTGCCCAGCCCCAGCCCTCTCCTGTACTTTCCACGTGTCCACAGGCCTCCCTGGTGGTCCTAGTGTACACCTGAAGCTCAGCGAGTTCTCGGTGCAGCTCTTCATTCCCAGGCCAGCAGCCTCCTGCAGCCTCACACTTCTTGTCCCAATTGGTGGCACCATGGGGTCATCTTCGAGTCCTCTTTCCCCTCATGTCCATGCACCATATCTGTATCTGAGTACCCAGCCAATCAGACTGCTGTCTCCACAGGCCCTGTAGTGGTGGCAGTGGAACACAACTGCATACACAAGCTGTTCTCTCCAGAGCCAGGGCGTTGCACCGGTCGAGGCTCTACCTGAGATGGTGGTGGTTCTGGGGTGTGCCAGGCTCGACCTCAGGAGCTCTCAGAGGATACAGCTCTTTGTCAGTACCTTGTAGCCCACCAAAGCTTCAGTCTCGCTCCCCCAGGGGGCAGCTCCCTCTGCCTCCTCCATCCTTCCCTGAATTTCCTCCCTGGGCCTCTTCAGAAGAGTGCTTTCTGCTCCAGCTTCAGCCATGGAGGTCCTGGCTGCAGGTGAACTTCTGAGGGCCAGGGGAGAGGATGGGCTGCTTGAACATGCTTCATGGGGCTGCTTTGTGCCCATACAGGCGTCAATGTGTGGCTTTTTTGTTTTGGTCTTGTTCACAGGCAGCTGCAGCCTTCAGATGCTCTTCGCACCCGCTGCCTGGCCCTGGCCATCGCAGATATCCTCTGGCGGGCTGGGAGGCGAAAGCGAGCTGTGATCACCCTGTAAGTGGTTCCAAGGGCCCTGTCACCACTGCTTAGCCTCTGCTGGCACAGCTGCAGGCGCACTGGCTGTGGGCTCTTTTGGCCTTGGGTACAAGGGCTGTGTGTGCCAGGCAGACGAGGCCGGGTGCTGGCACCTGGGCTCCACCTCTCTTCTTGGCAGATATGTTCCTGTCTGTTCTGCCTCTCCCAGCCAGGAGTAACCCCAGGGTACCCTCCGAGAAAGGTTTAAGGCTGAGGTGTACCCTTTAATGAGTAGTACAATTCCTCCCACTCCCACAGCATGCTCACAACTACTCTGTCATATGCATAATCATTCCATGCAGAAAGGTAAACAGTTGGGGTGGCCCAGAATTCTGTCTCCCTGACCCTCGGCTCATCCCTGCCCCACAGTCCTCATGGGTATTGGCCAGCTCCATGGAGCATCTCTTCCTCCCAGCTGCAAGGCTGAGCCTTAGTGGAGAGGTAACTTTGGGGCCCGTATTCTGGGAGACATATGGGTCGCTGCAGCAGATTGCCTAAGAGGAGGGCTCTCTGAGGTATTTTTAAGGACTGGGGATTAAATCCAGGGTCTTTGTGCTGAGCTGCATCCCTACCCTTCCACTTTTTAAAAACAATTTGGGACAGGGTCCCCTTGAGTCACTAAGTGAGGCCAACTCTTGTAGCTATTGCTTGTTGGCTGTGGCTTTGGGCAACTGACCGACCTGTTTATCTGTTTAGAAAGTGAGGATGATAATGATTACTTAATGGCGTGATGGTGAGGGCTAAATGAGTCAATATAAATAAATGATGCATAATAAATGCAATACCGTTACTTAGCTTGAATCATTTATCAATATAAATAGACGATAAATAATAAATGTGAAGTGCTTAAGATGGTGTCTGCCACATACTTATTAACCCTGGCCCTTCGGGTGGACATGGCATAAGGGCAGTGAGGAAGGAACTGGGTTTCTCTCTGTTTTTAAGATTAAGAAGTGCAGACAGGAAAGGGCCACATAGCAGCTAATGGCACAACAGGTCCCAAATCCACACCCTGCTTCTATTCTGTGCCATAGTGGACAACACATCTAGAAAAGTCGCTGGGGTGGGGTGGGGGTCGCAGAGGGGGAAATTCAGAGAGAAGCGGGGCCACCACCCTTCCATCTGTGGCAATGACGCTGGCCAGAGCTCCTTTGTCTGCATGTGTATTTGCCGGTGTGGGTAAGAATCAGACTTCTTCCTACAGCCAGGGCTTGGGTTCACTTATTCCAAGCTCGCCCTCCTCTTTCTGTTTTCCATTCCCTTTTCCTGCTAGTGAGTTCTCTGGACTCAGGCTGCAGATGAGTTCAAAGCAGGGGAAACAGAAACCCTTGGCTCCGTGCTTTCCTCCGGAGCCACCTTTTTATTTGTCTTCCTTTCATGACACATGTGGTTTTACCCTGGCTGGAGGGCACAGCTTTTCTCCTGGCAGAGGATTCATGCACCTTCTTTTCCTTTTTAGGGCTTCTGGAGAACAGCAGTTCAGCCCAACGGGGAAATACAAAGCAGATGGAGTCTTAGAAACAGTACGGCTTTCTGGAAAATTGTCACGCAATCTTTGGCTTTTTGGGGGGACTGTCTCTTTTTATATAAGTAAACCCATCCCCAGCTGGGGTAGGCCACCCTCCCAGGCCTTCAGAGTACTTTCTCTGGGGTTGCAGAGTGGGCAGAGGCGGTGGCTTTGGGGATGGACTTATGCCAGACCTGCTTTATGCCCAAAAGGGCTGACAGCTCCCCGTCACCTTGAGGTTACAGGGCTGAGCATATCCAGCAACCTAAGAGATGCCTTTGGTTAAGCCCCAGCCTGTAGCATCTTCTCCAGAATTTCTACAGGATGGCGATAGGTTGGAGCAAGGGAGAAGGAGGGGAGTCTAGAAAGTAGAGGAGGACTTTGATAGCCTGGGCACCAGCTCTAAAGTCAGACCTGGTAATACAAAATAAGAGATGGACATTTCTGTAGATTTGAAAATGTGGACACAGTGAAGTTCTTCAAAAAATTTTCCCTCTTTGCTGAGAATTGTTTTAACCATTTTAGTTCATTTGTCCCAGTTTAGGGCATTAGGGACCATGGGACATTAATTAGTGGCTTTTTTTTTTTTTTAAACTTGGAAGCAGTTTTTCTTGACCTGCCTCAGAAAGCAAAGGGGACCCAATCTGCTGCTTTTCATTAGTTCAGGACCCACTGACTATACTTTGACCCAGCCTAACCCTTGTGATTTGGACATGGTACCCTGGATGCCCCAGCCCCTTCGCAGACATCACAACTCACCATGGGGTACAGCCCTCTTATAATGCAGGGTCCTGTGCCTTACTTTCATGATATGGGGCTCCTGGGGGCTCTCAGGTGGGTCAAGGGCTGCTGCAGGCCAGGCTGAATTAAGCTGCTCTCAGGTGTGGGCTGCTGCCCAGTGCCTATTCTGCAGAATCTGTGCTATGCATAGGGATACTGCCAGTGGTGTTCAGGCTGCTGGGGATCACCACATGGAGTACAGTCCAGGTCCTGGGCATGGCAACTCACCCAGTGTGTATTCCTTCCCAGCTCATGCTCCACAGTGTATCCTGCTATGAGGAGCTGGTGACTTTTCTCCAACATACTGTGCATCAGGTATGAACACTGATTTATTACTGAAGCTTTTTCATTTCCTCATGCAAGAGACAGTGGTGGGCTAGAGTTGTTCTCCCTGTTATCCCCACCCTGGATGTGGTGAGGAAGCTGGGAAGAAGCCTGTGCCTACCACTGGGTGACAGAGCTGAAGACAGGGGCGTGATATGGGCTGGAGAAGTATAGGTTACCTAATCTCTCCATTGCATTCATGCAAGCTGGTCATGGACACAAGGCTTAGTAAGCAGCTGCAGCTGGGGCTGCAGAAGGCAGGGCTTTCTCCTGGGCTGGGTCAGAGGGGAGGGAGGCAGCCACTAGACAGTGGCCATGAAAGTCAAGCTGCTATTCATGAAGCAGGTTCCAGGACAACTGAAGGACAGAGAGGAAGTGGCTTTCTAGGAGAGTTGGGGACTGGGCAAACTAAATGACCTGACCTGACTAAATGACAACTGTGTTCCCATACTGGAAGTGTGAGTGGGGTGGGCCAGTGTGAGTGTGGGCCAATCAGAGGCTCTGGAAACTCCAAGGAGGGCTGCACACGCCAGCACTATGGGGGAGGGGCCAGCACATTCCAGGCCCAAGGACCTGGCTTCAGAGCGTTCAGGCCTGGCTTTGGGTCTAGTTTGTGTCCCTGAATAACTGAGGCACTGGCAACATGCTGAGCCTTAACGTCCCTCAGTTTCCCTACTTGTCAGGATGTGGATAATAATATAGTGCCAGCCGCAGGGCACTGTGCAGTGTGCCAGAACGACATGCATCATTGTGACTATGCTGGTGGCACAGTCATTGCTGTCACCATGATTTGAGGCAACTTTGGGGTGGGCTGTTGTAAAATCAAGAAGGAAACAAGACAGGGAGGAAGCAGTGTAAGACACATGACCTTGGAGGGCACAACCGCAAGGCTTTGACATTTGCATGTCAGGATGGAAGGACAGAGAAAAGCCTGAGTCCTTTTCTCCTGGCAACAGATGCTCCTTGAGCTTCCCCTTTCTCCCTTGTAGCCTTCTTCTGCGTGTGGGGTTTGTTCCCGCATCCCCAGGGAAGGCCCTGGAGGCTTTAGTGGCAAATGGGGGCACATTCAGTGCAAATAGGACAGGCATAAAGCTCCCACTGTCAGAGACTCTCCCTCAGCGTTTTCCTCCAAGGCCCATAAGGTCTGGGCATCCTACCCTGACTGTCCCGAGGTTCCTCAGGGAGGAAGAAAAAGGGAGGCAGATGTGGAGTACACCTGAGGCCTTTCATCCCAGAGTTGTAATCTTTAGTGATGACTTGGCCCAGGATAGCCAGAGCCTGCATAGTGACCCAAATTAGAATTAACTTCCTTTCCATGTGGGCTTCTCTGTCTGGCGTATGTGTGGGAGGGAGCCCTGGCCCAGGAGTTGGGAGCCCTGGGCTGGCTGTCACCTGTCTTGAATTCTTCCCTGGGATATCCCAGAGGGCTATCTGCCAATGCTCTGTCCCCACCCTCCCTAGAGCAGTCGGAAGGCCTGAAAAGATTCCCAGGAACCTCCTGTGGCTCATTGCTTGGTCACTTGCAGCCTTGGGAAAGTCCCTGGGTCTCAGTTTCCTCAACTGGAAGAAGGAGCCATTGTCAAATAACTTTCAGCTCCAGTTGTGTTCTCAAAGAGGAGCCTGAGGCCTGTAGGGTAGAAAGCTTTCCAATGAAGATGGTTTGCACCAGTGATCAGGAACCCCATCCCACCCCATGAAATTCAGGGTATTCCAAGAACACCTGATAGAAACGAGAGCCTTGTGCCTCAGTGTGTGAGGCTGACCAGGTTGGACATGGTATCATACTAAGGGAAAGGGAGGAGACTGGTGGAGCTCTGGAGGACAGAGGGGGACTTGGAGGGACCCATTTCTGAGACCTGGTCACTGCCCTGATGGTCCTGAGCTAGCCCCTTGCACCAAGGGCCCAGCATCCTGGCCCTTGAGGGAGCCTTACCCCCTTGTGTGTGGCTCAGGGGTCCCATGAAGCCTGAGCATAACTGGGATTGAGAAAGAAACCAGAAGGTGAGCCCCACAGCTGGGCCAGGGGCCACTTTCCTTCAGGAGTTCCTCTGGGCTCCCAGCCCTCTCCCCTGTCACTGGCTATGGCTCCACGCTGCAACCCATCACCACCAACCCCCGACTTTGGCACACAGTGCCTTTCCCTGACCCAATTCAGTTTAATTTATGTTTTTGCTGGAAGCAGTAGAGCTGCCTCAGCACTGGGCTCACCAAATCCATTTTTCATGGACTGGGCCTAAGAGGGGCTCTTTGTGCCAGGCCTGGAAATGCATACCAGGCTGTCTTGGCCAATATAAATAACCTCCTTGTTGAGTTTTAATTACACTTCCCTGCAGGGCTAGGTGTCTACCCAGGGCAGCTAGGGCTGCATGCTGCCCCTGCCTCCTGTGGAGCCCCTTGGTGGGTGCCCATTTCTCCAGGGCTATGCGCTGTGTTGAAAGAATGGTCCCCTTCTCCCTGAGCGGCCCTCGACATGGTTCCCACCCCAAGCCCTGGTTTCCGGCCCACTTCCCCACTGAGTTGGCCTTTCAAGCAGGCATGTACCCTGTGGCCTCCTATGTCCTGGCAGCTTGAACTTGATGAAATAATTTTAATCGATGTTTTTAAAGGCAAAGGGGAATATAGGTCTATTCAGTTGTGTCCAGCAAAGGCAAGTCACTCCAGGCAGGGCTTATTTCTCCTCCCTCCACAGAGGTTTCTGGGTGAGGGCTCGTAAGGGAAGTGCCAGGCAATCTGGACTATCAGTTCTCCATGTGAGTACAATGGGTTAGGGTCCCCAGTGGGGGCTTCTGTGTTGCTGACTCCACTATTTCCACAAATCATTAAGCATTGTAGGCAAGCCCGGGGGATCTTGGACCTAGACAGTGCTGGGGCTTCCCCAAGATAAGGCGGAAGTCTGGCAGACACTGGTCGGCATTCCAGAAAGGGAGCAGGGCCTGAGAGCCCTGTAACTGCCTGAAGGCAGCGTGTACATCCGTAGCTGAGCTGGGACACAGGGACATATGAGCCCACTGTGTGGGGATCTCAGCTTTACACTGCAGTTGTTAGAACACGTCACAGACATTGCCTCAGACAGTGTGTGCCATGAGCCAAGCAGTATGCAGAGGGCAATCTTTATCATCTTTGTTTTGTAAATGGGGAAACTGAGGGCATTGTAAGTGAGATTGATGACTGGCTTGAGATCACAGGACTACAACAAGGTTGACCTATGTTTGTTGTGCATTCATGCATTTCATTTATCTTCCAAAGTAAGACTTGATATTGGTTGTTAAGTAAAAAGTGATGTCCTCAGAACTCTTCCCTCACCCAGGCTAGTAAACTTGGTGGCTCTCTCTGAGCTTTGCATGTGCTTCCTGTTCCTCCCTGAGGGTCTCTTCTCCCCTGATCCCTGCTGTCTCTTGGGCTTTGAGTAGATACCGCTCCTCTACAATGCTTCCTTGGCCCTCCCTCTCTCTGCGTGCTCCAGATCTGCGTGAGAAGACTTCTGTGAGTTTCCAGAGGAACCTGTATGTGCATCACAGCCAAGCCCTTCCCTGCTCTTTCCAAGTTCCTTGTTCTTTCTTTGCTGAGAGGACTGATCTATGTCTCCCTTGTTCACAATGACAACCTTAGCAGGGACTGTCCTCTTGGCACTGAAGTTTCACTCAGCTCAAAAAGCAAAAATCAGACCAATGAACTTAGTAATAGAATTGCTAGATGAAGACAAAGACTTCAAAGTGGAATGAGGAGGGCCTTTACACTGACTTGTGTGATTCTCTGGGGTTGGCGGTGCCCGGTGGACTTACTGGACAGGTGGGCAGTGACGATCAGTGTTATCCTAACAGTTGACATGGGTGCCAAACCCTAGTCTGAGTGATGCTAGCTTGGTCTTCGTGATGAGGGTAGATATTATGGTTCTTATCCTAATTATCTCTGAGAAGATGGGGGACAGAGGAGCTAAGCAACATCCCCATGACAACTTAACTAAGAGTGATATGGCCAGGATTTAAGCCCAGGCAGCCAGACTTTAGCACGCAACTCCATGCCAAGATCGAGACTGTGGAGGTTGGGAGGAGATGCCTGCTTTGAGTGCAAACTTTAAAGGGGTGCGAAAACTTAGAGATGTACACAAACAACAACTTTAAAAAATCAAAGTTAATCTAAAATATTCATGATGAAAAAAGTCAAATATTTGATGTTTTGAAATAACCTAAAATAATAAAATTTACAAGGAAGACATCCCCTTGCACAGCCCACTTCCACACTGCACCCTGGTCCTGCCCCTTGCAAACCTGCTCTCTGCTGCTCTCCACACATGCAGTAATACCAATCCTGATATCTAGGAGCTTCGTCACCTCAAGCAAGCTGCTCAGTCCCTGAGCCTTAGTCCCTGACAGGTAGAAGGCAATCGTCACTGCACCAGTGCCCTAGTGTGTTGCGTATTAATGATGACAATACCCCTGAGAGACACTGGCATCATAATAGAGTCTGCTGTGAATGCTGCAGTCTTGCCAGTCTCGTTAGAGTGTGATCTGTTCCATGCCCACTGTCACTCAGGCTGATGTCTTTTAGGGGGTCTGGCTGGTGAGATCTGCCTGGGGTCTGCCCTATGGCCACTGGGTGATACCCAGGGCCAGGCTGGAGGACTGGAGGTGGGGTTCCAGAGGCAGGCCTCTCTGTGGTCCCCACCAGTTTGCAGCTGAGTGGAAGGAGGTGCCTGAGGTGAGACTCACTCCTTTCTCCTCTTCCAGTTTGAAGTGGGCCCCTACGGATGCATCCTGCTCACCCTGTCTGCCATCCTGTCCAGGTCCTGGGAGCTGTGAGTATCTTCTTCCTCACCTACTGGGCAGGGGCTGTCTGTCTCCCTTCCTGCCACCTCCAGAACCCTTGCAGTGCCTGGTCATAGTGAAAGTTCTGAGGATGCTGCTAAAAGGATGTATGAAGTGGGTAGAGGAAGAGGGGACAGTGTGCTGGTTCAGAGTGACAGCAGTGATGGACCTTGGGTATGCTTGTCCAGTCTTCCCTTCTCCTGGGTCTCCCAACCTATTTTGAGACAACTCAAGGCACGTCACTTCCTCACTGCTTTGTATGTATGAGTATGAGGGTGCACATACTCACTCCTCTGCTGCATGTGCTGGGGGTGTACAGTTGAGGCTGATACTTCAGGGTTCTGGAGCCCCAGGAGCTCCGGGCAGGGGTCTTGCTGGAGAGCAAGGTACATGACACCTATAAGGAGCCAGCATCTGGAGGTGGGGGTGGCAGGGAGACGACCACTGGCCCTACGTGTCCTGTTTGACCTTTGCTGGCAGAGGTCCCCCTTCCGTGTACTCCAATTAATGTGGCCTCCTAGGCTGCCATGGAACAGAGCTTTATCTTTAGGAGCTATCGAGGCCTCTCATCTATAATTGTCACCTGGGCATTATGTCACTGGGGAGCACAACAAATTAATAGCGCATGAATAGTTTTGTAAAGTACAATCCATTGCTCAATTCCTTTCCAAGCAGAAGCAGACCCCAGGGGCCTAGGTCCCTGGAATGACTCTTACTTTGAAGAGGCCTTAGGGGAAAGATTTAAGGGCACCTCTTAGCAGGCTGGGGAGAGAGGAGTTTCTGAGTAGCTTGAGGTACACAGACACAGGTCAGAGAGGCCCTAGCAGGAGATCTTGCTCCTCTGCCCTGACTGGGTCTGGCTGGGCCTGCTGCTGGCTGTTTCCCAGGCTCCTACTGACAGGGGAGGGGACAGCGGGGGCTCTGCGGCATCCTGTACTGGCCTGCCTAATGCTCACTGCTACTGACCTTATTAAATTGGTGTGCGCACAGCACTTTGTAATGGCATTTTTCTTCTAATCCTGCCATAATGATACAACTCATTCCTAGCATGGACTCACGTGCACCGTGACCATAAGCCTCACCACCTCCCCAGGACCGGTTTTGCTAATCCTCTGGTTAGAGGGTAGGTGAGGGTCTTCTGGCCTTGCTGAGGGGAGCAGTGCTCTCAGGAGGGCAAACCTGGTGGTGCTAGCCTCAGCTTCCCTGTCTGTGTGACGGGTTCCTGGCTTGTAGGCTTGAGAGTGTGCCTGATGCAGGGATCACTGGGACATATAACAAACAGCACATGGGTTATGTGTCCTGACCCAGGCTTAAGCTCCTCTGGCCATCAGTGTGGGGAAGGCTGTCCCAGTGTCCATGGGCCTGCATAGCTGCATAGCCTCAAGCTAATGGAGCTAAAGTCACAGCCCTACATACACACACAGCCACACCGCTACATGCAGACACACTGCTGCTCAGAGACACGCAAATGTACACAAATATACATACAGCTATGCATGCACAGGCAAGACTCCAGGGTCCCTGAGGACCTTCCTTGGGCCCCTACAGGCAGATGTCCTGAGGCCTCCTGGGACAGGAGGGGACACACTGAGGCCTGCTGTGGTGCTGGTCCATGACGTGGGCTTTATCTTACCCCTTTATTTCTTTCCCCTTTCCTTAGAGGCCAGTAGAGAGGGACATGTTATGGGCAGTGAAAGCATGGACACCAGAATTTATGAAGCTTCCTATATTCCTGGTCTGATCCTTTGTCTTGACATTGAGTGCAAACAGCCCCTTGAGTCCTTACCACAACCCAACAAGGTGTGCCCCCGTTGTCACTGTGACTTAAGGAGCAAGGCATTCATGCCAGGTTATCAATGAGTAAAGCTGGCACTGGGGCTGCCCAAGTAGGTTGGCCTGGCCAGCTCTTCTGTGTTGCTAGTTACACACCAAACTGGGATGAAGGTGCACGTGGTGTCAGGCCTTGGCCAGAGCTCCTTCCGCCAGGAGCAGGGAATGGATTCCCACCTCTCAGTATGGCTTCTCTCCTTGGGAACACAACTCATGCAGTGGCTGCTGCCATGGAATGTCTGCCTTTTTCTGCCTTCTGGCTTCTTGATAATCTGGTGGAGGCTATGCGACCTCTTCAATAAGCACAGCTATGAGAATGTCCTAAAGCTCATGATGGACCTTCTATGGTGATGTAGACCCTTGAGAGGCACTTAAGCAGTAACCCTTGAGCAATTAGTGTCATTTCATGCAGGAGTTTAAGGAGGAGAAGATAAAGGACCAAATTTGACCAGGGTACAAATTATAAAGGTGACTTGAGGAGACACCCTCTGTCTGATCTCAAGTTCAAGGAAGTGGGAGAACCAGGGTGCCATGGGCTGCCTCTGGGCCCTCCTTTAAGTCCATGGTCCCTTGTGACCGTTGTAGATTCTCCCAGAGGCCTACAGAAACCAGAGCATTCTAGGACTTGCTGGGGAGGAACACGGGAGTGACAGTATAAGAACAGCCCAGGCAGTCCTGGTGCTGCTCAGAAGCCCGAGTCACACCAATGGGCTTCTCACGGCACATTAGCACTCTTAGCACTTCCAAGGGTGCCAGTGAAGGCATTGGCTCACCCTCCAGCCCCTGAGGGAGTCCCCTTCCTCAATGGCATTGCAGTGTACTCCAGCCCTGTATCCCTGGGCTCCCTGGCACTCCCCACCTTGACTCTCCATGGAGGCCATACCTGGCTGAAGTTGTGCTTTCTCCTGGGCAGTGATGGCACTCTTGACTCTGGGACTGTAAAAACACACCTTCTGCCTACTGCCTCTGGCGTTAGCAGCTGCAAAGGTCTTTCTTTAAGGACATGTGGATGTGCTGGTGCAAATGTCACCCCCTCTGCAGCACTGTTTAGCCTACCCAGGGAAGCCCAGAGAGTGACAGGTCACATGAAAGCACACATAGTTGGTTTTAATGTAACATTAGGACCAGCGTGGCTGCTGACAAGCCTAGAGATTGACCCAACCTGAGTCTTAGGTTCTTTATAACAGAATGGAGCTATACTAATACTCTTTAGACTCTTCTTTGTAGTGAAAGTAATTCTGATTTATTTTTCCAAAAACCTATTTCAAAGCAGATGCAGCAAAATGACTTCGACAGGCACAGAGGTGGTGGTGATGGTGATGGGGTCACTTACCTGCCTCTACCCTGCCACTGGATCCCAGGCATGGCCAGAAGCCCCTTCTGTAGGAGACACACTCAGCCAACATCTCTCAGCAACCTCTGAGCCAAAGATTGCCTATGGCTTTCTTGATCTGGGGTTCATTGTCAGCTCTGCCAGGGAACCTTTTGATGCCATTCCAGCATGGTGTGTTACCATTTTAGTCAGTGGTTGAAAACATGTCCTGTGAGCCCAAAAAGATAACAGGATCCTGAGGTCAGTGGTGGAGCAGGAAGACATGCCCGATTAGTTCTGAATGTTGTGCGTATGCATTTGCGTCTCTGGTGACGTGGTGGTATGGAAGTGTGTGTGGGAGGGATCTGTGAGATGGTTCACTTGGATGGGAGGTGATGTTGGCATGGGTGATTTGTTTGAGGCTGTGTGAAGGCTACCATGATTGAGCAGGTGCCTGTGAGTGTGACTGTGACTGAGAGGGCATGTGGCCTCTCCCCGCTGGCAAAGACTGCCTTCCAGGCCCTGGACTGCCCTTGCACCAAGCAGTGACTCCTGTTGTAGGCCATTCCTAAGTTAGAACAGAGCCCGGGTGGGGGCCGTGAGCAGATGCAGATCCAGCCAAGAACAGCCCAACCACTCCAAAGAACAGTCAAGACATGGGCCTTTGAGGTTTGTTTACCCCAGGCTGTGTGCAGAGGCTTGCAGAGGTTTTATTTTTTTCTACTTGATTTCAAGCCATTTATTTTCTTTCTTAAGATCTCTGGTTGCTTACAGTAAATCTCATGCTGGGTTTCATGCTCTCTTTGCTCTGATGCTTTCCAAGCCTCATGGCTAGAGCTCTCTCTAGGGAGCTCTCATAAGCCCCCGGATGCTCGGGGCAGGTCTGATCGAGGTCTAGGCAGCACCATGCATGTGGAGGCTGAAGCCCCGAGCAGAGTACAAGCCTGGCTTGCGGTAGGATAGTGCTCACCCAATGGCTCTAGCCCTGTGGAGGAAGGTGGGGGAAGCAGCATGTAAAGAAGCCTTCTGCCTGCAGTGGACCTTTGGCATCCAGCACAGTGTTCATTTTGGCTGTCCAAAGGCAATTTTGAAAGTCCAGAAGAGTGACTAGTTTGTCATTGGCCCAAGTAACTTTAAAACAGCATGATCAGGGTATGGAGGGGGAGTGGTGCCCTATACAGCATCCACACGATGATGCCTCTCTTGCTTTGAAACTCTCCCCAAGAAATTAAAAACAACAGTGGCAACATGATAGTTTCTTTCTTTGAGAAAATAGCCCCAAAATGAATGGCATCTCTGAGAGAAGGGCAGTTGACAGGAGTCCTAACCAAAGTAAGCAGTACAGCTGGTAACTCATTCCTATCAAAAGCCTGGGCTTCAGGTGTGGCTGCATCCAGAAGCCAGACCTGTCTCTGGGACTTGTGTCCCTCCTCTGTTTCCTCACTCTTCTCTCCTTATGGTTCCCAGCTGTCTTCCCAGGAGGGCCTCCTGCACAGGGAACTCCAGCAGCTCAACAGCCTCCCGTGCCATATATCCATTCCTGACGCCAGCATTGTGGTCGGGCCTGGCTGGGCCTATCATGGAGCATGAGAACCACAGAGGTCCACGGGGCTGGATGACAACATGGTGCCCCGAGTCAAGATGTAGAAGTGTAGGAGGTGTTGAAGAATAGGGGACAGATGTAGGTTTGGGGTGGTCTTCCCAGAGGCCCCACAGGCTCCTCTTGAAAATGGAGAAAGTGATTACAAAGCTTTCCATCCCAGCATCTGCGGGCCACACTTGCCCAGAGAGGACCTACAGGGAGACGGCTGGTGGGAGGGTTGTGGTGTGAGGTAATGAGCAGGGCAG